TACCGTTGTATTGTTCGGCAGAGTTGAGGTGTTGAGGTAGAAGTCGTCGGGGTCTGAGGCGTTCTTCTAACACTCAGAACAATACAAGTCAAGTGGGTTAGTCAGGTACGACTCTTTGTCTCCACTTCCACCTGACTCCCGCATTGACAATTGTATGTAAACGCGACCTCGAGTCAAAGAAGTATGCCGACGGACAACCACCCGGCCTGTCTGTCTATTTGATACCCTTACAAGTAACTTTTACTAAGTTCCCTACGATGCTTCCCCCTTATTGACTAGCTATTCTCGGTGCAGAGCTACAGAGGTTATTTTTGGCACTTTTACCAGTTACTACGAAAACTCAGCAGATTAAACTGTTTTTTATAATATTCTGCGTGTCCACTGCTCACTGTAATTGGGTAAGTATTATATCGGCTGAAACATCAGGACCGAAGGGCTCGGAATATACTACAAATAAGAAAAAATTTGTGTATCTGCAGCACCAATTCTATTTTTCACTTGAGCTACTAGTTCGGAGTTACTCGTATACTAACAGTTTTACAGGTTTACAACTGTCTAAACAACAATATTATTTGTAGACTGGGGACAACAATGCAGATGACGAAAAGAACCAAGAAAAACGTGGGAAAAAACTTTAAAATTTGCCTTCAAAAGGTATGCATTGTGGATCATTCGTCTTGTCCCTGATGTGTACGACCAATAAAATTCCAAAACTCCTTTTCTCGAATTTTCAAGAATCCAAATTATCTGAGTAATTCGACGGCCAAGCCGCGCCAGAGACAGGTATTTGAAAAATTGGGTTGAAAAAACTACTTCGGCTCCGAAAAATTCATGAGTAATCACTCGGGCAAATTGATCTGACAAGAGTGTCCTTGTAAAACTTTACTACATCTCTCAGTTACTCGAACTCGCTTTTTACCAGTAACCTTTGAAGAGTCACTAACCTGGAGCATTCCCATTGTAAGTGAAATTGACGATTTGCAATGTGGTGTCATTCACAACGTAAACCTTTCCTTTCACATCGCCATCTGCTAAATTTGGCAGCTCGCCAATGAATGTGCCATAGTCCGGATCGTACGAATTTATTTCTTCGGCTAGTACTGTAAAAGAATTGTACTGTTTCTTAACATCACACAATAACAATACTTTTACTCGACTTTTTTTAAGTAGCATTTCATTTCTTTCTGGTCACGATGGGCACATTGAAAAAATTAAGGAATTATTGAATTGTTTTTGGAAGATCCTTTCAACTGGGAAGCTAAATCACTGCTCAAAGGTCAAGCTAACAAAGAAAATTTTTTCAAAAACCATCTTCACTGAAAAAGGCCCATTTGAATTAAATGATGCTAAATGCTAAGTGAAAAACTGATGTTCACGGTCGCTCTTCTTATCTCATAAAGTGAAAGAAAGGAAAAGAACGTGGACAGGAAAATGTACCTGAGATTCCAGCTGTGAGCAAAATTATCGTCCTTATCAGCATTTTTTCCTAAAGAAGAAATTTACTGAAAAAAACGGAGAAATCTCAAGTAAGCGAAGGCACGACGGAAATTCCAACAAAAAGGGCTTTTAAGTGAGACTGTTCGGAATTTCGAGCGGTCAGTCTTATCAAGAGTCCAGCAAAGTTCGGAGTATCGTGTATGTTAGCTCCTCGGAGATTCACACTGTCGAAGATGGTAGGAAACGAAAGAAGTAGGATTGGTATGAAAGCGTATAGGTAAAAGGTGTACTTCAAAAGTGGCAAAGGCACAGGACAAAGGGACAAAAGTCAAATTGGCACACAAAAAAAGAAGTAATGTTCTCATAGAGTGAATCTTTGCGGATGAAGTATTCCCAAGAGGCGACTCTTGAAGCACAGTGAAGGAACCCAAGGCATTCACCCCAGACTTGATCCTTTTCATTGGAAACCGGTTGCCCCCCCCCCCCTCTTCCCTTCCCTCACAGTTAGCTGAGTGTTCATTACTGGATAACTAACAATTAAGTAATTTACTATGCACTACAAGTGAGAATGAATTTGGGCTAAGAATTCCACGAAGACTCGTAAATGATTGGTGAAATTAAAAGTTTACCTATACATTTCTCGAAACCCTCCTCGATTTCCCCTACAGTGAAGCTACTGGAAAGACAGGGTGGAAATTTTTGGAAGTAAAAAGTAATAGGGACTTGAAGATGCTTCAGGACCTTCAGCAGAAGTTTCTGTTCAACCTAATGTTCATTCTTCTCAGACACTTGGGCCGTTGTTGCAGTACTTGGGTTTGTATTTAAACAAAGATGATATGACAGGGGAAACCTACCAAGGAAGAGTGAAACTGAAGGGTCCTCAACTGTAGAACCTTCATTGAGAAAAACAANGAGAGCAGCTCGTTGGACCCGTCGTTCAAAGTGCGAGGGTTGTGCAAACAAATTAAGGAAATAGTCGGAAGAAGTGCTTGATTGAGCAGCGTTGTTTGTGGCGTAACACGATGTCGACGACGTAACCGAGTGCGTAGGGCGAGCGGTATACGGCGAAGAAGACAACGAGGGGCGTCGTAGCCACGACCACCATGGTCATGAGATGGTCGTCGTCGTGTATGGCCCCATAGCCCCCTGAGTCCACTTCAGAAGAATAATTGGCACTGCTTAGACGCGTATTAACCATGGCTGACGAACATATGCTTTGCGTTCTGCAGCTCATATATCATGCTTGAGAAATTGTCACCAAGATCTGACACTTAATCGCAGCGGGTGACTGTAATCGTGTATGACCTTGATGGGTTGCGCTTAAAATCAACAGCATTCCCCCCACTCAACCAGTGGATCAGGCGATTCGATGAGAGGATCCGTAAGCTTTACTAGTTGACCAACTCCTAACTGTTTCAATGAAAATCGTTGCTTCATTCAGGATGTTACTATTTACCGGAATCAGAGTAGAACTCCAGTGCGCAAAAGTTGGACTGGGCTCCTAGATGGGAAACCTTGGTCTTGGGCGGAAAAGGATTCTCCCAAGGACTTTCCACGACCACGGTCAGATCAAAACGAAGCATTCATGGTACTTAATACAACTCGTCTATTCAAGTTAAGAGGCCGATGAAACTTCTAATCGCCGAGCGTGTGACTGCAATTGGTACTTGACCTTGATGACTGAGAAAACTAACTATCGTCTTGTAGTAAAGAAAAAACTGGAGTAAGTCCTCAGTATTGTTTTTTGACCCCAGTTTTTTTGGTCCCTTAAAAAACTGTTTTTTTTTTTTGAAAGGAACTTTGGTACTCTTACATATGAACGCCTCTCACAAAGAAAATACAAAAAGAGTTAGACCAAGTTACAAAAAAAAGCAAAGCGACCAAATTAAGTTACTTGGTTTCAGGAGTAGTGACAAGTTCATGAAGAAGATATGAAAATCGGATTTGGGACTGAAGCGCAGAAGCTGCAAAACCTCTAAAGTTACCAAAAACTCTTTTGAATCAAAATATCTCAGATACGAAGTATGTCAAGATAAATTACGGCTCCTGTATCGAGCCAGAACGAAACGGATCTCTGGAAAACCAGTTTCGCGCAGGCAGTTGACCACTACCTGTTGCAGTAAGTGCTTGGAGTTGACTGGTAAAACCTGTTAATCTCTTGAAATTTCCTGAATAGTAAAGAATAGCAGACAGTACAAAAAATACAAGAAGAATATGAACAGAAATACCCATTCTTTGTCTATGTAAAAAGATGAATACAACAAATGACAAAGATATCACCGAAAGTAATCGATTACTTGTTTCACCTACAGAGTAAAGTAAAGTCACGTAATAACATGTTCTTCGCAGGATTTTTTCTTTGAAAAGTCACCAAGCAATAGTTTAAGAAAGAGATCTAGAACACGTCAACCGATTTAAGTGGGAGAACACAAAGAAAACGGGCACATAAGGCGTTTTCCTGCAGCGGCGGCGTCATCGGGGAGTCTCCCTCCTCCCCCTCCTCTAGTCGCTTTTCACAGCAGTCGAGTGGACTTTTGACCCAATATGAATGCATCGCTGAGGGTGGCCACCTGAACCAATACACCAGCCTGGCGACTCGACGACCCCCATCGGGTCGGTCCACCTCGAATCGCAATCGGATCCCAAGGATTACCATATTGCCACACACACACACGCGCAGACAGGCACACACCTTGCAGGTATCCAATGTCTATTCGGGAAAAACTGCCCAGAAGGATCAGGTTTGGGGCGAGCGATTCAAGGAGGAAAACAGAAAGTGGAAATAGACCATGACAAAAAGTAGCATACA